AATAAAAAACAAACTTAGGTAAAAGGTGAAAAACCAGAACATTAGCTAAAAATAAATATAAAAAAGCTAGAATTAGCAAAACAGTAGCAAATAGCTACATTTTTCCAAAATGTGGGTAAAAATAAAGTTTGCAAACCAACTGTGAAAAGCAAAAATCAGCAAAATACTAACTGACAAAAACAGCAGATTAAAGCTAAAGTTAGCAAAACAGTATCCAAAAGCTAGTTTAGCAAAGCCATAGCTAAAACTGAAACTAGCAAACACAAAGTTAGGTAGGTAAAAACAAAACATTAGCTAAAAATAATTACAATGGAGCTGAAATTAGCAAAGCAGTAGCAAAAAGCTAAATTTTTTCCAAAATGTAGCTAAAAAATAAAGTTTGCAAAGCAATAGGGAAAAGCAAACATTTGCACTGAAAATAACAAAAACTGTAGCTTCAAACTAAAATTAGCAAAATGCGAAAATTTGCAAACCATCCAAAATAATATTAATAAAACACTAGTGCACAAAGGTGAAACGTCACAACCTTTGACCCTCGTCATTCATCCTACGACCTGGGCCCCAACCAGGAGGTGAACCTGTGACCTTCAACACAAAAAAGTCATGACCATGATGTTCTGCACGAGCTGAATGTTTTGACATTTTTTTGTTGTTGTTTCAGCTACTATCCTGTCTTCAGGGGTTGCACAAAGTGCAAACTCGTACAAAGGGTTTGGCTATTTGTTTTACACCAGATGACCTTCTGACACTACCTGCACTGAAACCCACAGCTTCAGGAACTCGAGACCATATCACTGACCCCTGAGATTCTGTGGCCCTCAAATGTTTCAACAAACGATGGCTTAAAATCGAAAATCATGAAACTATGAAGAGAAACAGGACAACAAGAGTGTGAATGGTGACTCGTTATTCACAACTAAACCTGTTTTATTCGATTTCACAACAGGGCCTCTGTGATCCGAGGGGTTATTCAGGTCTGACTCTCTGGTTCGCCTCGTTTAAACGTCATTGTGTTTTATAACCGTGACTCAAATCAATGCAACAGTTAAGCTAAATCAGGATGATGGTTAGGAATCATTTTTGCAATCATCCATGTATTAATGCTGGCCACATTTTAATGATGTTTACAGAGCTTTCCACCCCCATAAAAGTCCAGTTTTAAGTGCTTTACAGAACCTCTTGCCAAAGCTCCATTTGAACGTCACATGAAAAAGTGGAATTATCCCTGGTTCTAATTCTATTTCAGATTTTATTTTTAAACCTAGCCACATTTCCTGTCTGCTTTTGCAGTGAGTCAGCTGCAGCAGGGATGTTGATGTCATGTATGCTGTAATGTGGTGTTTTTTTATATATATATGCAGTATAATTAAAGTCAAACCTGAAAATATCTGTTCAAACTGTAAAAACTGAAAATGGTTTTAGACTGGGCAAAGTCCACCAAAAGGTGACTGGTCTAGGGTCTTGGTGAGGTCTTCAGGAGCTAATTCAGGACAGTTCTCGTTGAACGTGAAAGATCCATGATGAGTTTGAAACTGCAGACGTTTGGTTGTCTACCATGGTGGGGATGTTGTATTGGGGTCCTGGATGTAGCGCGGTGACATTGTATCCATGACATGGGATCCATGAGGACCGATGTGAATCATCATCAAAGGTGTCGGTAGAAAAAAAAAGTTTTTAAAAGGTTTTTACCTGAGCACATGTTCCTGTTTTTACAGCAGTGGTTCTCACTTATTTTCTGTTATACGCCCCCAGGGAACTTCTTTTCTTCACGCTGCCCCTGAATTGAAATCCCATTGAGAACCTGATTTTAAATTATTTATCTGACTTTTCTGGCACCAGCATTGTGTAGATAATCACCCGGTAATGGTAGGGGAAACACTGCATTATGTAAAAGAATCCCTTTTTTGTATTTGTTTATTTTGCTACATTACATCATTATTGTTAAAATTGAAAACTGGTTTAAAATTTTTCTTATATTAAATGAAGAAAAACTATATACAGTATATATACATTTTTTCTTCAGGATAATATCCTGATTTCTGTGTGTTCCTTCTTCAAGGCCAACAAACTCTTAGAAAAAAAAAAACCTACTAAGAACTCATTGGTACCCCCACACCCACCACACCTCACTACCCTGCCCCCCTTCTTGAGAAGCACTGAGTTACAGTGATTTATTTTTTGCGGCACATATTTTCTGGCATTTCTTGTAATTCATTTGACGCGGTGCAGATTTTCTCAAAATTTGTACTGATTCATTTTTAACTTGAAATCACCACAAAGATCTTGAGGCAGTCCTGCTGTAGCTGAACTTTAATTGAACACTTCGGTTCTTCAAACCAAAATCATCAACCCTCCACTACCGTGCATGAGTAGTTTGGGGTGGGGGTGCTAAGACCTCAGCCGTGTCATACTTGATGACATTTTACATATTTGCCACAATCCAACCTTCTGATGTAAAACAACAAAAACTATCTTTATTACCTTTTATAAATGTGTAAAACACAATTAAATCTTTTTCCACGAGCATCAACACGGTTTTAACATTTAGTGACGACATATTACGCAATTTTTACTTTAATTAATGATGACCTGTATAAAAGGTCATCATTAGAACAATTTACTTTTGTTGGTTTGTTTGTTTGTTTGATTTGGCAGACAACTGAACACAGGCAAGCTTTGCAAACAAGCTGTAGTAGTTTGGTCTTTATTTCATTTCCCTGTAAAATAAACTTTACCTGCCTGTTTAGGGTTTGAGGCAGAGCTTCCTGGTTGTTTGAGGTTTCTCCAGCCATTGCATGGTCTGACCTCGGGGTGAAATGCTGAATGCTGTACTCCTGCAAACTGTCTTGAATGTTTTTCACTTATAAAGGATCTTTGTCTGGGTGTAGAACGATACGATCCAAATAGTTTGGAAATAGTCCTTTAAGCCTGATGGGCAGCTTCTCTGAGGTCATTGCTGATGGCTTCCCATCTTGACATTGTGTTAACACAAACCTTTATGCTCCAGTCTGCTTGTGTAGATTAATATTTTCATTTTATAGATTTATAATGGCTAAATCCAGGTTTTACTATTGATTGTATTATCTGTTCACTATGTCTGTACGTGCAATATATACTGAATAATTACAGAATGATTACAACTGTTTTGTAGAGGCGCTAGTGTAAAAAAGGCAACAGTCTCATGCTGGGTTCCAGTTGCAGCAGAACTCGAAATTGTGAATTTGGACTGATTTAAAGGGATCCATGATTAGTTGTAACATTAGACTTTATATGATAAACATATACTTTAGCTGTAAAATAAAGACTGTAAAAATACTGTAGGATGTTCAGTTTTTATAATTTTTAAACTAAAAGTTTAAAAATATATTACACAGACGGGGCCATTTTATTTACACGCAAAGCATTCTGGGTAAATGATGACGTGGACAGGTCATCGGTGCGAGGCTGCTAGCGAGCTATATCCACCCTGAAGGTTAATCTTGGACAATATCTGATGATCGACTCTTTTAAATGAAACCAGAGAGTGTTGACAGAGAGGAGAAGGTAGAAATGACTCAGCCTGTAACTGAAAATATAGATGGAGGACAACAGAGCTGCTTCATGGAAGAAGAACCTCAGCTTAGCCTGTTAGCTTTAGCGTTAGCCCCGATGCTATCACCATATATATGTATTAGCTCAGCGCTACACATTCTCCTCTCGTCACTGAGGTCCTCCATCCAAGTGACAGAGAGGGGAACACAAAAATGGCTCAGTCTGCAACTGAAAATATGGATGGAGGACCTCAGTTTAGCTTGTTTGTTGTGCTAGCACTGAGCTAATACATTTAAGGCAATATAGTGTGAGGGCTAGCACAAAGGCTAACAGGCTAAACTGAGGTTGTTCTTCCATGAAGCAGCTCTGTTGTCCTCCATCCATATTTTCAGTTCCAGGCTGAGTCATTTCTACCTTCTCCTCTCTGTCAACGCTCTCTGGTTTCATTTAAAAGAGTCGATCATCAGATATTGTCCAAGATTAACCTTCAGGGTGGATATAGCTCGCTAGCATCCTCGCACCGATGACCTAGTTGATGTCATCATTTACCCAGAATGCTTTGTGTGTAAATAAAATGGCTCCGTCCGTGTTAATATATATATTTTAAAAATTACAAAACTAAACTGCCTACAGTATTTTTACTGTCTTTATTTTACAGTTAAAATAAATGTTTATCAAATAAAGTTTAATGTTACAACTAATCGTGGATCCCTTTAAGAGCTGAAAGTGTTCCAGTTTCCAGCTTGTCAGAACGTCGGGGAAAAACAATGTTTCTTTTTGTGGCTCTGACGGAATAATGCAACAATTTTGTTTGAAAGTACAAACAGCGTTAAAACACTCATGTCAACCTCCTTGGATGTTTACCGGTATAACGAGCCCCAAAAATCCGTAAATTTCGCAAAAAATCCGTACAACTCGCACCGGGGGTGGTGGCTGCAAAGCAGGAGGAAAGGAGAGAGGAAAAAGTAACTTATTTCTAGCGGCAGAACAGGTTGGAAGATGTCTGTTTGATGTTATTTATTGTTTTTTAAATCATCCTACAGGCTCTGACATGTTGATAAATTTGAAAATGAGGCTTTGAAAAAATCTGTGAGATTGCTCTATACGTTCAGCCTAATTCAAGATGGCCACTACAGCCAGACGAACTTGCTACACAAAGCTGTTTATATCTGTAAAAAAGTGAGTTATTTGTGCGACACTTTGATGTGGTCGTAGCAGTGAGTCCTGCTCATTGTGCAAGAGTTTGGTCTGAAACTTCACAGCTAATCAGCGTTAGTCAACAAACTGGTGAGTCAGTTTTATAGATACTGAGCTAAAGTTTGAGGTGGAAGCAGCTGACGATTAGTCACAATGAGCAACATTAAGAAACTCTCACATTTAGCTTTTTTTATAGCCGTGGAGCCACAGGTAAATCCCTCTATAAAAAAAACCTAACTAGTTGAGCCACATAAAAAACACTGAAGGAGAAATCAAATTTACTTTGTAATTTAGGCTTGATTAGTCAGAAAGTCGTCTTATTTACTCTGCTAAACTCAGGAAGCCAAGAACAGATTCATTCAGCATGAAATTCCAATTTAAACACGACATACTGTTTACTTTTTTAGGTCTATTTCCTCTCCTACTTGAGCTGATTTCTGCATCAAAGTCGGCTCTTGTTCGCCGGCGGCAGCATTGTTTTCATCAGCGGCGGCGGGCTCACCGGGGGCTACACACGGCGCAGATAAGTGCATCAGCTATTACCAGGTCCCTCCTTCAGACCTATTAGGTCTTGCAAGGACTTCAAATACCAATTTGTTCTGCAAATAGCCCATTCAATTTGTGCCCGCCAAACAGAGACACCTCTCTCCCTCTCTGCAGTAATTGAATCTTCAAAGGGACATTTCCCTTCATTTCTGCCAGGTATTAGAGTGATGAATAGCAAACGGTCATCTGAATAGTCGGAGAGGATACATGTTTGTCCGTTTCGACGCTCATCATGCGCCGTGATGATTGCGAGGTTGGAAACAGGATGGCGACACAGCGGGCTCCTCAGTGAGAAGGATTTTCAGAGGGACAAAGAAGTCGTGGACAGATTACGGGGCGTCTGGACAAACAACATGAGCTAAACTGCCGGAGCCAGGCGAGCAGAGATTTTAAAGGAGGCTTTTAAAATCTTCAATATTTTTATTAATTAAATACACCATACTGGAGCAAATGTCTCGGAAAATATCACAAATAAATTTCTCTCTCATTCGGCATTTATATGTCGGGAATGATCTCTACGTCACGGACTACGAGTGGGTTTCTTCGGGCTTGTTCAGAGGGGAGGAGCGGGATGGCGGAGGGGTCCGATGTACTGTAGCCACGCCTGGACAACGACATTTACATGCATACTGTACATACATGGTAGTAATACAAATACACCAACAGAGTGTTCATGATCTGTTCGCCACAAAATGTCACAGATATTTTTAAACCCCGTCTTTATAGATCACAAAAAAAAAAAGGAAAAAAAAACACATTTCCCTTTGACAACACTTAAAATATAGAAAGTGGAAACACCATGTTGCTGGGAAATGAAGATAGAAAAGGAAGAGAGGAAAAAAGGGTCCCTTTCCCCCCCAAAAAAATGTCTTTAAACAAATGTGCAGAGTTGAAAAGTCTGCAACTCTTAAACCTCATTAGTCTCTTTTTTTTGTCTTCACTCAGTCACAACATCCCTCTCTCTCTCGCTCTCTTTCTGAAGAGTCCCCTCTGATTCTTATCAGAGTCAAAATCCCAAGCGCCTCGTCTCAGGTGTGAATAAGTGCAAAAAATCCACCCGTAACTGGGGAAAAAGGCCCGAGTTTGAAGGCTGAGAGTTGGGTTTGTGTGTTTGTGTTGCAGACATGAGAAACTGGGTTACTGGTGAGATGGGCAGAGGGTTGCTTCAGGGCGAACGGGGCCTGGGAGCACAGCTAAAACTGCCGGGGAGCTGCTGATCCACGCCGTCTCAGGTGACGATGAGTAAGGGCTAAAATGAAGGCACACATCCTGCTTCCTGCACGGCTCCCACCTAACACACCTGAACAGGAAACAGCAAACATAACATCAACGTTAGAAAAAAAAAAGACGTAATTAAGAGCGCTCGTTCACAACGTGTCAAACGTCCCACACACCCCCTCACATGATAAATACATTTTCCACCAGCTTCAGTGTTTAATTTATTGATCAGTCAGGCTTTGGGAACCATCTGGTGTCCCATTTACTTTGCAATGACTCAGAAGTGCCTTCATGAGGCGATTCTCTTTGGTATAATTAGAATCACGCTTCAGCGTAACTGCAGGAGCTGCTCAGGCCTGCGAAACACAAACACAGAGGGAAAGAGATACAATTATCTGTCTGGGTTCAACTTTTTCATCTTTCCTCTCTTTTTTTCTCTCTTTTTAGCTCTTTTCTCCACGATTCCAAGGGGTGATTTACTTTTCCCTTCATCCCTCAAATCACTAGGAGGGCTTCAGTCTATTAGTAATTGCAAACTCCTACTTGGGGGCTAATTAAAGTGACTGACGCTGGGAGGGTCTTCCTCCCCTGGGTCACAGCAGCTCTGTATGAGAGAGGTAATTTGTCTGTTCTGAACAAAGAGATTAGGCAGAAGCAGAGAAGAAAGCCTAATGTATGAGCACAAAATGTCCTACGCTGTGATAGTGAGCGGCTTCGATTACGTCGCACATCAAAAACATCACAACAACAATCTGTGGACAACTTTCTGACCGCTTCATTTTCTGCTTTGCTCGGCCAGCCTGGGCTTCCTGATGCATTGCTCCATTATTGATCTGGAGACCCGGTATCCTGCTGTACGTCCGTGCTGGACGAGCCCATCCAAAGTCTGTTTTAAGCGAAAGGAAATGTGGGACGGAGAGCTCGGGCGGCGGCGTAATTCCCCTGGTTTCACACGCAGAGATAACAGGAGCATCCAGAGAGCGTTCCCCCACCGAGCAACGCGTCTCCGTTTGGTTAAATATTCTCTCTCCGCGATAATTAAAGCACCAGGGCCAATATTCAGATTGCATTTTAGCATCAATAATTCAGCGCTTTTCGCTACAACTGATGTTAGCGCATAAATAAACAATGAAGCTTCATATTTACTTCGCCCGCCGCGCGGCCAGAGACACTCGGCGAACAAGTGAGGACTTAAACAGACATTTAAAATTAAGCTAGATAATACAACAGCTTTCAATTTAAACGCGAGGAGCTCTTAGAGCTCGGGGAGCTGATCTGTAAAAATGACAAGCCTTTAAAAGGCCTTAATGGAGTTCTACCTCTCCTCTGCTCACAGAAGCACTCAAGGTGAAACGCAAGCACCCAATAATATGATTCCTCTCTCAGTCTGTCTGTGACACACTCCAAACACCTCCCATATCTCTCAGTGTGCTGCGTGTGCAGACAAGGTATCAATAAAGCAGCTTGTTTTGAGGCAGGAATGATTAGATCTGCAGCAGGCAGAATGAAGCTGTCCTGAAGAACGAAGTTATCCTTTGTATATGATTAGGCTCTTTGTTTTGCTTTCACTGGAGGCATCAAGATCAAATCAGGAAAAGCCATGAAGACAGCTCTCGTGATATACTAGCTGCTGCTGCTCTCCGGCTGCGTTCAACCCTCCAGGGCTCCCTGGATACACATTTTTAGCTTTGGAGTGATAACTTCGCCCAGGTGATCCCAGCTGTGTTGTCAGGGCAGTCAGATTCTGCTTTAAAAACACACCGTGGTGTCAGCAAAGATGTGCTTTTCTCTTTTTTTCTTCTTCTCCTCCCCTCCTCCTTAGCACTAAATGGAAGTCTGACTCAGGCCGGCCAAACAAATTCATCATAAGTTAAATATGTGACTGCATCCAGCTAAAAAAGGCTAGACTTTTCACAGGCTGTGTTGATGGATAATACAGATTTTCTGAGGTTTTGAGTGTCCTCCAACAGGAATGATGGAAAAATCCATCAGCTGTCTAAAAAAATAAATAATAATAAAAACAAATCTGTGCACAGTTAGATGCTGGGCGCTGGAGTTGAACTGGTAACATCAATATAACTGGAGTGAGAATTGTGGCCGTGAGAATTACAGATGTAGGGCTTTTTAAAATCTGTTTGATTTTCCCCCAGAATCTGTTTTATTTTCTCTTTTTTTTCCTGAATTCTATGTTTTCTAATGTAGCAGTTTTTTTCACCTATTAAGTCTTTTACTGTATGGTGGATTAATACAACTTGCACAAAAATATCCACTTTTTCATTTATTTTAAGAAATTTAAGCAAAAACACAGACAAAATGCTTCAGTTTAAAAGATTAGTCAACGCTATGTTTAAGGTGTTTCAGATGACAGTAAAAAACAGACGTTTTCTAAAATAAATGTTAATGCAGAATTAACGTGAAGCATTATAAAAGTGGGGTATGATGATAAGGAGGTTGCTGTATTTCTTTCTTGACAACAACTTTTACTTTATCACTGGAAGTTTCCTGAAACAGACATTAGTTTTTGTTTTTTATAGCAGATTGTTTTCCTCTGCACACACAGCTACAAAGTCTTCAATAAGCTGACTTCTGCTGCTGAACAATCAGCTGAAGCTAACGTTAGCTCGCTGCTCTTTGTTTGGATCTGACTGATTGGTGGTTACACATTTCAAGTGACAGAACTTATTGAAAAGTAGTTTATGGTATTTTGTTATAGACTTTGGGATTAATGGTAAATGTTGTAACGCCTGCAGCACATATTTCTGTTACGCGCCCCCCTCCGCCCGCCAAATATTTTCATTCATTGCGAGCGTCAAATGTGAAAAACTTCAATTAGTCACCCTGCTTTCCACACAGTAGACATCAGAGGGACCTTCAGATGTTTTGTTTTTATTTTATTTAGCTCAATAATGATGCTAGCGGTGACGCTAATCCTCCTTTTCTTTTCCTACACAACAACAACAACAACAACAACCACGGATGACTTTCACACAGGTTAGCATGGCGCTCTTACCTTCTGGTCGGGCAGCAGTGGGTTCGTCTGCAGGGAACTCAAATGGCCGTTGATGAGTGCTGTGGGTCGGTCGTGTTCACAGAACAGGCTGCCGTTGATGTAGTGGAAGCGGTCCCCGGGGACGAGCCGGTTCCGGCAGGTGGAACACGTAAAACACTTCGGACACAAAACCACAGACTTACAAGCAGAAAAAGGTGCAGCTGCGACTTTAACTGTTTGATAACAGGAAGGACTGTGTGTGTGTTCGCTTGTCTGTACCTTCAGCTAAATATCTCGTGAATTGATTGAATTTTAAAGAAAAGTCCAGAAAGTAACGACTGAATGAACACAAACATCAACGCTTTCGGAGTCAACCTGATTCAAGATGGCTGTCACAGCAAAGTAATCCAGCAAAAAACACAACTGATAATTCAGCCCACTTTAAAAAGACCGCTGAGCAGCAGCTTCCTCAACACATTCTGAGTTTAACACATTGACACGTTAGCTTCAAACAGGGCTCTGAAACCTGCGGCTCTGGGGCCACATGTGGCTCTTTGGTCCCTCTGCAGTGGCTCTTTGAAAATGTGACCAAACATAACAGATTTTTATTTTTATTTTTTGGTTTTTATACTCACAACACTAATACATTTTATGCAAATATGTGATCAATACTACTAATACAAAAAGTAAAACATGTTAGCTCATGCTAGCCTGTTTTCTACCTAATTATTCCAACTTCTTTCTATAATCTTTCTCTCAAATCCACCATGGTTATATTTAAACACCTTTAGGACTATGTAACAAGAATTAGGAAAAAAATGTTTTACTAGTTCAGATGTAGAAGTTTTTATGAAACTCTGTATAAACTACAGCCAGCATTTTTCTTGTGCATGAATATGTTATTTTTCAGTCTTGAAGTGTAAAAATAATAAATAATAAAATTCACAATGTATTTTTTAGATTTATGTCACCTCCACTGGCCATAAAGGTTCACTAAAAGGCCTCGAAAAGGCCCACGGACCACCAGTTGATAATCACAGTTGTAGCTTATTTTGCGGCTCTGGACACATTTTATTAGCGAGCCGAGGAGCAGAAATGGCTCTTTTGATTGTAAAGGTTGCAGACCCCTGGCTTAAAACCTCAGCTTTAACTGCTGAAGTTAAGTTCTCTGTTAGCAAAATATCTCATAAACCTTGAGACACATTTCACATAAAACTCTCAAAAACTAATTACAGGCTGTACATCTACAACTGATTACATTTTTGAATCAATGGGCCTCATGCAAGAACCGTTCGTACGCACAGATTTGTTCTTAAGTTGTGTGTACGAGTGATTTAGGAGAATTTGTGGCATTCACCAATGTTTTCGTATTCTAAGATTTTTTTCAGATATGAACAAAATTCACGAGTGGTCCAGACCTGTCGTAGATTTTACGAACAGTCAGTCTGCTGTTATCCAGACGGGTTTTCTTCACTAATAACTTTATATTTCGTTAGTTTGAAGAAATTTTGAGTTGAAAATAAATCACACTCCATAATTATGTTGACAATAAGTTATTCTGCTTGAATTAGAGTTATAATTTTAAATGTATTAATTTAGACTAACAATATAAATTGTCCGTCGGGCCGACTTATCTGGGATCGGGTCACGGGGGCAGCAGAGAGACTCAGACTTCTCTCTCCCCAGCGACACCTTCCAGCTCGTCCTGGGGGACTCCGAGTCGTTCCCAGGCCAGAGGGGATACATAATCCCTCCAGCGAGTCCTGGATTTTCTCCAAAGTGCCAGACATGTTTTGAAAACAGTTTAAAAGGCTTATTTCAGAACCGCAACTGAGACCACTTGAGACCGCGCTGGGGTGGGGGGTGGGGGTGTACGGTGCGCAGCGCTGTGTCTTCTGAATAAATGAAAATGATTTAACACAGTTGTTTATACTTTTAGCAGCTCTTTTTATCCCACAGCTGACCTGCTAAAAATGACAGATTTTCTTTTCTGGATCTCTGACAGACGGACTTCAATCTCTGAACTCGTAAAGTTTTTATTTTTAGTTTTCGCTGCCATTTTCATGAATGGACACTTCCTGATATCTGAGGCAGGAAACATAGCCTTATATGGTGTTTTTGGGGTGGTAATTATGCTAATCTCCTCTCGCGTGCACGAGCAGCTGGATACGAACAGGTGAATTTACGCAGCTCATTTACACACTTTTCCTGAAGATAGAAGAGTTTGTTGAATCTGACGTGACATGTTCGTACGAACCCTTTGTACGAACAAAAGTAAGAGAAATTTAGGAGAAGAATATGAACATGTTCTTGCATGAGGCCCAATCAACTTATTTAGCATTATTTAGAATTTAGCATACAGAGTTTATATCAGAGAATTTTACAGATTTTGAGCAGAACTGTTGCGTGATAGCAGCTGTCTGTCACTCACAGCACAGACTCTGAGCACTCAACTGATCAGGTGAGGTATTGTTCACATTGTTTTCACGGTTTGACCAGAAACTCTCTGTGACTTTCCAACATGTTAGTCTAAAACTGTGAACGGTGTGGACGGTTAGGCCTTTAATTAATATGATGACAGTGCTGACAGGAAGCGCCGGGCTTTACCTTGAGATGGTACACGTTGCCCTGCGCCCTCATCACCAGCTCGCTGGCAGGAATCGACTGACCACAAGCGCTGCAGGCGCCGCTGTTTCCAAATAACCTGAGAAAAGATGGAGCGAGAGGACAGATGAGAGCCACGTCGTCACTACGGAGCCGCTGCGTGCGTCTGCGCCCATCCAGCCTTGTGTAACGAACTGTGGCGCTCGCACTTTTGTCTGCCGAGTGTGCGACTGAATGAAAGGCTGATTCAGAGCCAAGTTTGTTGTTCTTCATCTCTAACTGGGAGGAGAGAAACATTTAGGAAGAAGGGAGCCAGAGAATCGTCACCGTATCAACAGGAAAAATGATGCCTTTACTGCGCGGCTCTCCACAAGCATCTTGCGCCGAGACTACACGTTACTTTTGCTGCACTGTTTTTTTTTTTTACAACCCAATAATAAGCAGGAACATAAGCAATCAGTACCTAAGAGGATTTGATTGTACATCCAGGCAGGGACATAGTGCTTTTGCCATTAGGACTCCAGTGGATGCTCTGTCAGTGCCGTGTTTCCATTAGAAAGCCCGTAGCTACTCTGGTTGATATATAATGTGCATGGGTTAACCTTTTCTATCATGGTGTCAACACTTTAGATTTGCTTCTGCTCATCTCTTTCGTCCCTAACCTTCTCCCCCCCCCCCACCCCCCACCCCTCTCTGCCTCTTGATAATGAAATGCTTGCTCCAGCTTCCCCTTCTATCTTCCTTCTGAGTCCACAATTTAGATTACTTCATCTCGGTGAGCAGCAAACTGAATGAAATTTCGATTTGAGCAGAAAGTAATTTACTGGGATCTGGACCCATTTGTCATCATATCTCACTGGGTGTTTGCTCTATCACTGCACTTTTCCTAAGCAATCAAATAAGACCACGGCATCTGACATGCTCCGGAGAGAGGAGGAGGAGGAGGAGGAGGGGGGTGGGAGAAGGATGGAAAAAGAAAAGGAGATGGTGGGAGTGGCTAACACTTGTGTGTACGTGTGTGTGTGTGAGCCCAACAGATAAAGTTGTTTGGCTTCCAAAAAAAATAAAAATGACAAGGCAAACAAAAACGCCTTGTTCGTGTCACGTTCTTTAAGTGCAACATGATGAAAAGTCTTTTTTTGGTCTTAAATCCACAAAAAGACATAGGAGAATAAACGCTTTGATGTATTTGTATCGTACCCAAAGCAGTTGTTACGATGTACTGACAAACAAACAAACAAGAGCTCAGAGAAATGGCTTTCAATAAGACAACTCAGGCAGAAGCAAATTTCGTCTTGGCATCATTTGGAAAGGCTCCATCAAAACTCAATTTCAGAAACTAATTAACTGGAGACTGTTGCTGCTTCGCTGCCAACTCTCAGCTCTTGCTAGGACAAACACTATCATGGAAATGAACACGTATAAGTTGCTTTAAGATTCATGCGATGCGCGGCGGAGAAGCAACGACACATGTCTCCTGTGAGACGTTTCTGAAGATAGATCATTTAAAACTCAAACCTCCTCCTGAAAGCTTCTGAGAGGAACTGAAACAAAAGCTACGAGACTTTTCTTTTTTTTTACTCTTTCATATTGTGGCGCAGTGTGGAACATGTGGCAGGTTAATTATTTTACCAGGGGACTAGCTCTTGATAGTGTTTGATTTAAAGAGCCAAAGCCTTTAGGTGCTCAATTAAGTTGCTGTAATGTTTTGAACTTGGGCTCTAATGGCTTCTTCTGCCAGTGAACTACAGCGCGGAGGTGAAGTCGACACTGCGGGTCAGCGTAATTAAGGCCAAGGGACTCTTTTAATTACAATGACACATCTGGTTTCTGTGTTTCACCGCACAATAGAAAATGGGAGGAGAAGAAAAAAAAGCCTCCTTATTGGATGTTGTATTTTATCTGCTGTCCTCTTTGAGTGGATCTGTCGTTGATTAAATTAAATAACTCGCACGCACGAAATAAAACAACAGCGACAAAAAAAAAATAGCACCCATTCTGAGCTGTCTGTTGACTATACAGGCTATTGGATTTCATTTCAGCACTGACTGCTGGGTGAAATATAGCAAGGCTTGCTGCTGGGCTGTCTGGTAAACGCAGACCTCATTCACTAAGACCTTTGAGTAGGGTAAAATTACCCCCACAACAATGATTTCTGCAACACAGTCCATTAAAAATGCCTCTCTACATCAGCAGCCAAAGCACCTTAAAAGCACTAAGGCCATATTGATACTGAAGCAGGGCTTTGCATAATGGCAAGAGCTGCATTAGAGAGAGAGAGAAAAAACGTGGTGGGGGTGGGAGGGGGGGATGAGGAAGGGTTGATGTGGATCTGTGTTGTGCATGATTTTTTGGAGGGAGGGGGGTGAATGGTGGTGGTGGTGGGGGGGATCAGCCAAATTACACTTGGTTAATTCAGAGTAACAGATCCGGCCCCAAGTGAATTGAAGGCCTTGAATTAATTCTGATATGACAAATCAAGATAAACGTTTCCTCTAAATTGCGTGCGATTTAATTAATTTCTGAGATCCCCTCTTTTTTTTTTTTTCTCCTGGCCTAATAGTTCACATTCTCTCCTGCTGTCATGGCGCTCAAGTGGGCAGACTTCAAAGTGATATTAAATAACCAACTATTAGATTTACCTCACACGTTTTATTGGAAAAGTGCCATTTAATTACCTTGGCTTATTCAATTAAGGGGGACAGCATTCTCTCTGAAACCAGCAGCCACAAGTAAATTAATTCTCCCTCCCCTCTCTCTCTCTCTCCACCGGCAGCCCCGCAGACATGATATCACCTCTGGCTTAAAACAACACGAGCCCCGGCCGCAGCAAGCTCAACTTTTTAAAGTTTAAAAGCTCCTGACAGCAACGAGCATCGCTCCAGGCACAGGCTCGCATCCCGTTCAAACGTCCAGCGGTTTTCACGTTAACAGAATTGATCTAAAACTGGAGCTATTCGGCGTGTTAAAAAAAAAACAATTCTGTCTCTTTAAGATGAAGAAGAGAGGAGGGGAGGGGGGGAAAAAAGCGGCAAATGGCCTTCACGATAATCCCTCTTCTCTATCTGTCTTTCTCTCTTGCTCTTTCAAAAGCCAATTTGGTTAATTAAATGTTTTGTTTGCCGTGTGGCTCTCATTCATTTCGGACACGTCACTGGTAGCGGATACAAGCCAGGGACCAGATCTCATTAGATAAAACCCATCAGGACTAAAGGAAATGGAGGGGGACTATAATTAAAGCTTTTAATTGTGTAGACTCTCTGTCAGGTGCTTTTTTTCCCCTCCTTCTTCTTTTCCGACCATGTCCCTCCACCCAAACACACACACACACACACACACACACACACGCACACACACACACGCACACACACACACACACGCACACACACCTGTTTTTATCTCTAGAGATCTCATGGTTCCATAATACGCATTTCCACCAAGCGTGCACTCTCTACAAGTGGGAAGGTGTACCCACCCCCACCCCCTACACACACCCCACTCATCCCATTTTAATTATGTTATAGTACCATTATGAATGAAGTACCCCATTGACTTCCCCAAGCTTTTCATGGAGGTGGGAGTAAAAGCGCCAAGGCACACTTTGGTTTTCAAATTATCTGTGCAAATTTTGTGGGCCTGGCTGCCGCGTGGTTTCATCTTCTGAGCCATCGGTGCAAAACAACCAAACATTTAGTTGTGCTTTAACCCGTAAACACAAATGTTCAAGTTTTACTTAAAAAAAAGGCACATATTTGACGAATAAAGCGTCAAACTGTTTGAAACGGTTGCTTGAAGAGGTTTAAAAACACAAAGAGGGGGGGTTTCGGTCAACTTATTTTTATTTGTTTGGTCCTGTTACATCACACCACACATTAGCTAAACGTGTGCAACCAAAGCCCTCGCTTTGAGCACACTTTCAACTCTTTAAACGACGATTATGTCAACAACGCCACAGCTAAAAAGGAGATTATTTGTTACGAACAGTTTGGTTCAAAATGTCCAGTTTTTTTGTAGTCAAGTGGACGTGCACAGTCGTATTCACTTTAACACAACGCTCATCGGTTTTATTTTTTAACGGCCACCGCCTCACCTGATGTAGTCGTTTCTGCAGAGGATCATGCCGCTTTTCGTGTAGCACGACGTGCCGATTTCTCCCAGCTGGGCCTGGCAGCAGGAGCACTTGAGGCACCGGCTGTGCCAGTAGCTGTCCATGGTGTAGAGGAGGAAGCGGTCCGCGATTTTGCCCCCGCAGCCGGCGCATCGTTTCCAGGACAGGGAGCCGGCACCCACAGCTGGTGGCTGGTTGCTGCCTCCAGGATTCACCATGGTCTCTAAAAAAAATTTAAATAAAAAGTTGTTCCAACTCGATCAGTCGATACATCTTGTTTGCACGAATGGTTTCAGTCTGTGCTGTTGCTTTACTGGAGTCCTCACAACAGTCCCAGTTGGAATGGGGTGAGCTGGTGGCAATGTGTGTCTGGACAGAAATGGACTTGGACACAGTCCCATATGTTTGTTCCCAACACTTTAGTGCTTTTATGAAACAGATATGTTTTTATCTACAAACTGAGAGCCCACGAACCCTAATCTAATGATGTGACGCCATTTGTTTCTGCCACAGATTTAATGGAGGCTCCTCCTGATGTAATCCCCACCAATTTGGTCCGACAGACCTGCCCGGGATAAAGCCAAATCTTTGTTGAAAGCCAGGTAGGCCAATTAGAGTTGAGAGGAGGGAGGCAGGGATGTGGAGGAGGGGGGGAGGAGGAGGGGGGGAGTCACAAAGAGAAAAGCATTCAGTGAGCCCATTAGTGATGGCTCTTAGGGACAAACCACAGCGTGCTTTAGTGCTGATTACATCTAAAAAGGAGATAACTTTAAAAAAAACAACGTGAAAGTAACTCTGGTTAAAGCAGGACTTGCTATCTTCAAGTTTCTTGGAGAGGTGGAGGCTGCAGGAGGGGAGGAGGGGAAAGCTTTTACTTAAACGGGCTAACTCAAGTAATTACGCGTAATTAGGGCAAGTCATGGAAACAGAGGAGAGCGCGAGAGAGAACTACAGAAAACAGTCGCGCGACGCAAACAGAAAGCTCCTGTGCGGCTTAAACGTGCAGTTAATGTTGAGTAAATAAGCATAAATGTGTTTACAGTGATGAGTTATCGCCTTTGCTTTAATGAAGACATGTTTAACAACAGTTATAACATTTAAAACATGGCTGTGCCGTCAACAAACACTCACCTCGATGCCTTTTTGACGCGGAATGGCAGAAAAAGTTGGTAGCTAGGCGAACAGGTACAAAACAGTCCCAGAAAAAAAGTAAAGGTAAAAATAAATAATAATAATAATTTAAAAAATACAAAAACACGGACGCACTAAGTCGCGCGCGCGTCGGCCTCCAGCTCCGCGCGAGGACTCGAGTCGGCTTCTTCAAAAAGGCAAGCCGACCGGTGAGCAAATGGAGTTATCAGATAGTATTTCCACTGAAGCCTTTCCCCTCTTCTGTGGCCACTTCGGCGCCGAGATGAAAGGAGTCCATCGCGAGGCGTAATTACTCGTCTCCGCGTGCCGGAGAAGAGCGAAGAGAAGCGCGTGCTTCGGCGAAATAAAGTGAAGCGACAACGGAGGGATGCAGAGTGTGTCTGCGTCCCGTTAGCAGCTTGTTCTGCATGTGTGGCTGACAGAGAGAAACCTCCAGTAAAAACCTTCTCCTGCCGCGTGACGTAAAGGACGCGGCAGCCAATCAGCTCGCACCCATAACAGTTCCAGCCAATCAGGGGGAAGCGACATGGACTTGGACACGCAGACAACTGAGGTGAGAAGGACGAAGTAGGACAGTGTCCAACACTGAAAACAGGCGTCTTAAAGCCAACAAAGACACACTAAAAAGTCACTTTTGATCATTGATGACACTGACTGCCATGACAAAGTTTTTGCTTGTGTGTGTGCGTAGGGGAGAGTTATTCATACATACATACATACATACATACATACATACATACATACATACATACATACATACATACATACATACATGTCTGTTATCAAAATATTTCAAAAAGAACTAGACGATTTTTAAAAAAAAACTTACACATAATATTAATTGGATATGCTTATACAGCTGATTAAACTTTGGAATCAACAGGATTCAAGATTGCCGCCACTGACAACCAATTTTCAAAACTACAAAAATCAATAAAAACCAGTGAATTCCGCTTATATTGATCAGAAATTTGGTGTGGTAGTAGCCGAGACTGAGCCCCAACAAGTAATCAGAGCTCTAGCAAATAACGCAGAAGCTTCCTTTGAATTTTTGCAACTAACGTTTTGTGGTCAGCTTTGTCGGCTTGTTAGCAAAATAACTCATGTGCCACTGGACAAATTTCAATGAAAGCTGCAGAACATAATCAATAGCTCACGATCTACAGCTGATAACCTTTCAACGTTAAACAAATGATTTTAATCCATTTTACAGCTATAAGGCTAAAGTTTGCTGTGGTAGTCGCTGAGACTCATTCACAAAGTTTCACTAAAACCGCTTTAAAATCATCATTTTACAGAATAAGTTCACCACTGGCATGAAAGGCAATGGAAGACATGCATTCCTTAAATAGGCCCTTTTTTTCCCCCAATATGTTATTTCACATTTTTAGTAAGTAATTATACATAATAACCCAAAAGATGAGTACATTTGTAAGAGCTGCTTTGAGAAATTACTGCCAGCCACTCGACTCCATTTTGAAAACATCCTGCTGCATGGCAACATCCAGCAGGATGCATTCACCTCACGTCAGAGTTTAATTAGTTGACATTCAATAACTATTTAGTTTACTGAGGGTGACTCTAACCTCTGGGAGAAATTAAGGCTTTACAGCTGCGTCGTGGCGCCATCGTCTGTCACTGGAAATAATAGCAGCACGAGCAGCTGTGGTTTACAGCGTTATTAAGCCTCAGGTCATTGGTTTCAACACCTATTAAAGGCTAATCTGCAAGACCTCGATTTGGCTGAGGTCCTTTAATTATTCCACTATTGCAGTTTGGAGTATTGTTCTTTTTTTTTTTCTTTTTTTCTTTTTTGTTACCATCCTGTAACGTATTGCAAGTTAAATGAATGAGTACAGCAACTTTTGGTGAAAATGTTGTTTTCTAACATTCAGCCGTTTGGGACGAGATATTCAACTTTGTTTTTATCGTCCAACACTGAAGGCGACAGGCGATAATGTTTTTGCACGTGTCCGCGTTTCTGTTTTCAAAAAGTCTCATGAGCCACAAGACAAATCTTAATGAAACACTGCACAAAGTCATCATTATGTCATAAAACATTCACCGATTGAACCGTTTCATGTCGACTTAATTCAAGATGGCCGCCACAGCTAACAAATTTTAAAAGACGTAAAAAATAGCAACAAGCTGAGACTATTGCTCAAACTCTGTGAAATCTTGGTGTGAAATATTCCCATTAACTCTTTGGAGTGTCTGCTAAACAAAATATCTCATGAACTACTGGAAAAATCTCCATGAAACTTTCGAGGGATAATCTTCAGATGCCCCTCTAAGAGTGATTAAATTCTGAATTCAGTCTAAACCAAAATGGCCGACACAGCTAATCAGCGTTACTAAACACAAAAAAAAAATGACTTTGACTTGATCGTTTAAAAAAAAAAAACACAATCTGACATTTGGTGTGGCTTTCGCTGCATTATAACACAAATACGTACTCCAAAGAACTACAGATTATGCAAGGTCTTTGTTAAAAATGTTAGCAATCACTACTGGAGTCAACCCAGTTTGTCTGTTAGCAAAATATCTCATGAAATGCTAGCTGGATTTCAATGAAACTTTCAGAAAGTATCCATTGCCTTTACAGTACCTCTAAAACTGATTAAGCTTCAGAGTCAGTCCAAATAAAAATGACCACCAAAGCTAATTTACATTAGCCAACAGCAAACTGACTAGAAACCAGTCAGTTTGACAGATATTGAGTTAAATTTTGAAAAGGTAGAAGCTGAGAGTCATTCTTAACACATCTTTTGAGTGGGACATCATGTAATATTGAATGAGATTGCACACGTTTTTCTCAAGGTTTGACCAAAATTGCTACAAGTTTGTTCTTTCTCAGATGATTTTAGTTTGACATTCTGGCACAAAGGCAGTGGCTGATATGCTGTCCTTCAAGGAATATTCAGCTTTGAATTATGTATGTAGTAGGGATGTCTCAATCCAGATTTTTTTGGCACCTGATACAATCCGATCTTTTTAATGACTAGTCTTTCCGATACCGATCTTATGAAGATTTTTCTTTATTTATATATTTTTTATTTTATTTTTTATTTATTTCCAAGTGACAAGGTTGTTGCAGCCCTGCTGTTCCCACCACGAGAAACATCCAGTTTGCAGATTTTGCAAGATGCAGTTACAGCATCATTGTTTTCCACTGAAAAGTGTTCCCACACTGTGGACATGGCTGCATACTTGTGTGCATCTTGACTTCTTAACGGCAGTTGTAAAGCATGATGATGCTGAAAACTGTCACTAAAACTGGATCAGCCCGATCACATGACTAAATCCGATTCTACCTGATTTTCAAAAAAAATGGCCATATACTGCCACTGATACTGAGTATCTGATCAGGACATCCCTAGGATGTAGCTTTTGTGAAAAAGGAAAGCAAATAAGCTACATCTGGAGTTGATACTAAGTTCTGTTTACATGAGAACAATCTCTTGAACTGTTAAAGGAGACCAATTATGGGTCCTAGAAATTCTTATGGTATGTCTGTGGGCTATCCAGACCATGTTCATTCAATTTAATGCACAAAATAATTGTCAGATAATAAAATTTCCCATTTTCTAGTTCTGCCTGCTCTGACTTCCGTTCAGAAGAGCTGTTTATGTTAATGAGCTCTGTTGGTAACGCCCTCCAAAAATCTGTTGACATTAACTCCGCCCTCCAAAGCCAGCGTTTACGTTAGCATGGCTAATAATAGCAGAAGCTCCGTTGTACAACCTCTCCTCTGCTCTGCGCTCACTCTGCATGCTGTTACCAGAGCAGGGAGCAGCAGTGGTCAAAATACCTCAGAAACTCGAACAAATAGGCTTTAACAAGGCTTTAATAAGCTAAACAATAGAGGTACATGAGAAAATGTGTTCATAATGAATGAAAATAAATAAATAAATTGTATGTCAAAGCTAGTCTTGAACCCTGGTCTCCCACTCTCTGGTCCAAAACTCTACCCATTACCCTATTGATGGCTTGTTGTGAAATGAGCTGTGCATTACACAACAACCGTGATGGCTTTTTATACTGAGTAGGTGGAGTCTCACCCGGGGGCTGCTAGATAAGGGGCTGAACGCAGGTTCCGGTGGGTTGTCGTACGGCTTGTGACATCACAAAATAACGGAAGTATAAAATTTTTCGTTAATATACATTAAAAATACATTTACTTACAGTAAATATGCCCCTGGGTGCATTTTTTGGTCCTAGGACTGTTTTTTAAGAAGTACATTCCCAAAGTTGAGGAAAAAAAGATTTAAAAGTGAACTTTGCATAATAAGTCCCCTTTAATGTTTTTTTCAAAGTTTATTTTGGTGAACAAGAACAAAAAAACATGATTACATGGATGGATGCAGTTACGGTATGCAGCGTCAGCAGGATCACAGTTAGAAGGGATGTTATTGGTTTTGCTCCTACATGCTAAAAAAGGAGTGAGGAGTACAAAAACAAACAACAAACAAAAAACGCTCTTTACCATTTATGGTAACTGTTGTACGTGCAGAAAAACGTTTGACTGCAGCCGCCTGCAGAGCCTGTGTGATTTCACAGCTGCTGAGATTGGAAATACTTGGGGTTCTCCTGAAAACCTTCACCCTGAGACCAGGTTTCAGAGATCTTCAGTTCCAGAGAAAATGAGGGTTGTTGTGTAAACAAACTTTAAAAAACCAGTTGTAGGAAGAAGGGCCTAAAAGTGCCACCATTGGATAAAAGTTGCCACAGAGAAAAGTTGCTGGAGCTTCACCAGGTTTAGTGGTTTTTACATGACAAAACAGCTCTCTGATAAGAAGCCCCTGGCTTCATGCGGGTAAAGATTATCTCTTTTTCTTAACTTTAATTGTTTAATTATTCCACCAACTCTGAGGAGATTGTGCCGCATCAAGCTGATTTCCCTTTTGGCAAAGCCACTGCAACTCCACCTTGGTTTGAACCACATCCTCCTGACGCTCTCATCAAGCTTCTCTCTCACTGGAACAGAAGATTGCAAAGAATATCTATTTTGCACCAAGAAATAATTAGTTGATTTAAATGATTAAAACAGTGGGAAATTATAAAATGGATTTGAAAAGAGGCCTCTAAGGGAAAGCTTTGTTTGTCACAGGCCTATTTTTAATAAGCTTTTCATAACTGGGCAAGAAAAATTACTCCATGTGTTCTTTTTGAAAAAAATAATTATGGCTAGATGAAGTGGGGAGGAGGTGGAGGGGTCAGTGGAATGAGGAGGAGGGAGGAGAAGCTCCCATAGAAATTGATCATCTCACTCCGCTGAGATCTTGCGGCGCTGTGGCGTCTTCCGTGCAGCTGTACTGTGGGAAAAAAAAAAAGAAAGAAAGAAAAAGAAAAGCGGCAAACAACAATATGGTGGAACACTGTTTTATTGTTTAAGCAAGGACAGGAGAG